TTCGTATTCCAGTTTAAATTGCTGCGACGAACGTATATTTTCCGTGCACAATTCCCTAAACACATTCATGAACTTACCGGCTGTTGTTCAAGAATGAATAAAGTCGCAATATTTTTATACTGCACGGTACAAGTTTTATTATTAGTTAACGTCTTTCGTTTAGTGCTTCAAAAATACCCGGCATGTCGCAACATCATTCGGATTCTTGGTATTTGTGGGTAAGCAAAATAATGAAACAGTAACCATTAGTAATAATTAAATGTCACTCATCAGTGACCTTCATAATGCTGTGTGGTTCAGGCATTAAAGTGCAATTTGAGGGGCTTTCTGTTCTCTTTCTTGGAAAACGCCCTTTGAAATCGGATATTCTCATGCAAGCAGTAACAAATAAAAGCGTACGAGTAAGTTTCACATGTATATATGGTTAGTCTATTTGATAAAACCGAGGAAAATGTGACTGGGACCAACGACAAAATTATGAGGTCTTGGAGTAGCACTGAGGGTGTGTGATTCACAAAAACACCCGCTGTTAGAGAAATACACTCATTTGCAAATCAGTTTGGTTTTCACGGAAGACGCAACTGAATCATTGGTTCATGATATTCTACAACTGGATGTGCTCCACACAGGCTGCCTCAAATTTCAATTGGTACGATTTTCGAGATGTCGCTGTATGGAAACCATTCACAGTGTTGCTGAAAACTCTTCGACAGCGCACGACCGGTTTCACCCTTCTTGAGGCTCATCAGGTAGACGCCGGCCTGACTGTCCACTCATAAGCACAATCAGACATTGTTCTGCCCATTTTTTCATCCGTCCGTTCGTCTACTACAACAGTCAATAGAATTAGTTGCTAGAGATTTCGCGTTTTTGGACAGCTGTGATGAACCTGGGGGTTCTGTTAAAAAAAACTCTGCGACTCGAGAGGGAGAGCTTAACTTGAGAGTTTAATGAAACCCCGAGTATTTGTCCGGGTAAATGTGAATAAATTCAGTCTTTCTCCGCATGTTTTCGCTGAGCTGTTTGCTCCTCTGGTAAATCAAACTGGTTTCGGTCGACCCATTTTAGCTGATCGCAACCTCTACTAATTGGCGTGCCTCGCCTTTCAAATTCCAGCTTCCATAACTGGTGGAAGTGGCGCATTCACGCAAACAAGAAGGCGATGGTTACGATACTTCTATTTAAGTAGGCTTTCGTTTACATGTTATTGGGATTCTGGCAGTTGTGTGTTTTGTATAATATGTAGTGTATGATAGTTCCTAAGGCTGTTTTCCAGATAAACTATGCCATCAATGCAAAAAGTGCATTAGCAAAAGTTGAGCCTCGCCCCACATTTTGTCAGCTTCAGTTTAACGTACGCACACAGCCTTGACCTATCTGTAATGGAGACACTTCCTTATCCGCATCTGGGCTCATTTTGTGCGAGCATTTTCTCCGTTCGAAAGTAAAACCTAAACTGACGCTTATGACGCTTTCAACTATCCTTCATGACAAGGAGACGGTGACACGATTATTGTAAGGCCACGGAGGGGTCCATCAGCAAAGTTTATGCATCAATGACCAACAAATGGAAAATTTGGCAAAAATCGAATTCTGCTTTATCTGTTAGCTACACGACCACTGTTGACTGGAAGAACTTTCTTCGCGAAGTTTGCGCCTGGCGGCTTTTGCAGGTTATAACGGTTAGTCATACCGAAAACTGTGGAACTAACGACTGGAGCTCACAAACAAACCATCGAATCACTTTGGCGCGTCTACAAGATGCAGAGTCAACGCCAGTGCGGCACACACCGATCTTTATTGGATATATTGGTGAGGGGAGAATGTCTGAAAGCCGCTCGCTCCCCTCTTAAGCTGTTTATCAGTGGCTTGTAGAAGTTTATTGAAGTGACTGGTCCTTGCTTGTGACAGCAAAGTTTCAAGAGAACTACACCTAAACGTATAAACAAATATGACCAGAAAGGTAACCCGAGGATAGCGGAATTATTCAAGCCGTCGTAGGAATTACTTGGATGATATCCGCTCATTCTGCATACGTGATGATTAAGCTACTCGCTGCTTACACATAGTAATTTGGTCTAAACCCGAAATGGAAATGAACACATCAGAGGAAGTTTTCTGGGATGCCGGAACCTACAAGGTGTCTTAGCCAAATGCCATTTGTGGTAGGGCGCAAGCAGCAAGCAATATGTAACCTTGAGTTTCGGTCTCGTTTTGACGCCACCATTCATGTAGGGCAGATTTTGATTGCAAAGCTAAGCGCTGATCTGTCTGAAGACCTCATTCATGCACTTGGGATATGTGGACTTGAAAACTCGGAAAAATTAAACATTCGTCACCTTTCTCTTCATACGAGGTGTTTGGGCTTGGACTAAACAGCCGACAATACATATTTTGTGTTCACATTAGGATGCTCATTTCTTATTCTCGACTACAACGAGTGCGTTCCAACCCAACTGTGTCCGATTGGATCCTGTCTAAGCAGTCGGAATTCGTGAAAAATTCTGTACAATTTGCGAATCCATGCATTGCCTCTATAAAGATGTAAATCATAACATGTGGTGTGTAGCTGTTCCGGCAATCTTTTTTTCTAAACGAATCCTGTCCCACCTGGACTGGCTAAATGGTTTCTGTGGGTTGGTACAACAATACGACGATGGTGTTACCTAATCTCCCCTATTACTAATGGTAAATATCTTATGACTGTATTAATGTTTCTGTAAGCGCGTGCTGCAATCAAGTCAAGAAGAACAAGTTTTTCAATAACTGCGGTGCGTTTTTGCGAACTTACATAATTTGGTCGCTGTAAATTCGAGAGCCAAAAAGACTGTGAGCAACATGAGTAAATTTACAATAATCGCAAACAACAAAGCGCAGTACTATGTTGCCTGATCTACTGTCATGTGAGACCTTTGTTTCAGGTGTTAATCGTACATTATTTGGTGGGTGGTTTGGCTTGGTTTTGATACCTTTGGCCCGAAATTCACCTTGGAAAGTGTCATTTCTGTGACGCAGATTGTGTCCATATCGGGTGTACTGATTTCGGTTGGCGATAGACGCAATTCTGTGGTAACAAAAAAGGGATGTCCTTTGTTGTCTTTACTGACCGAGTAAAGATGACGTTGTGAGCAATTTTTGAAAGGGTTCGGTTCTGTTATAAAACACAATATATATGTATACATATTATGCATACATTATTATATCATGCATATATTAGGGAAGCAAAACATCTATTTTATTTTATGATATCATACTGTGGATGATGATGATGAAACTAAAGACCTGTAGCAGGCGAAGACCTTTTAACGTTGGACGGCTACATTTTATAAACAGTTCACCTGGAACGTTTTTGATGAGTAGAAAATAAACTGCATTAAAAACATTTTCTGGTCACAAAATATCCTATTAAAAACATTTCTGGTCACAAAATATCCTCAGAGCACTTACGTATTTCTGGTTCCCGGTTGCATGGACAAAAATGGTAACGTCAATATTCGGGACATGGAAATAAAACTGTAAGTTTCCAGTAACAGGTGACCAACGTCAACTCGAATCATCAGGCGCAACTATTAGGTATAACGCGTTGAAATTTACAGGTACTGAGAGTCGATCAGTCGTTCTAAGATAAGCATATCACTTTGGTTCTGCAGAGTTGTTCATGCAGCACGATGCGATGTGACGCCCCTGATAAAAATACGGTCTCTGGTCGTGGGTCTACGACAGTGGTGGGAATTTACTACGGTTTTCAACTTACTAATGAGATACAGTCAAGTATAAAAATCCCTTCACTTTAGTGAGACCTACAGTTGTACGTCGCAAACCGCCGTCTTCTACAGTAGTCCTAAGCATTTCTTTCGTCTGCGTTTATCTGCGAATGCATCATTTAAGACGGTCACCTATAAAACGAGCTCACGGTTGATGGAATTAAGTTTCTGCCAGCATGTCTTGCCTCAACCAACTAAAACATTCGCACGCATATCAAAGTCTTGATCAACACTTGAAATAATATTAGTTGGTTACCCAATTCCAAAAGTTTCACGGTGCAATTTAATGCCAGTTTGCCTAGTGTGTGAAGGCGCCTCAAACCGCTTGCCCTAATAATACTTTCATGAGTAGCTGTCTCGTGTTCAGATACAGAAAATTTGGGATATGAACAAATCGGTGATCCATCTTCCCTCAGTAACTCGGTACCGGTCAGATGCCTCTGAAATTTGAAATCTGGCGAAATACATTCATTTACAAACAAATTTGGCTTTGTAAGAAAATCAACTGGAACCCAGCTGAATCTGTCACTTATGATGTTTCTAATCTCTACTACGGGTCGCAAAACTCGTTATTCTTCTGAGACAGTAGTTTGGTCTCAGCTGTAGAGAACCGATCCAGATAGGCAAAACTTACTTGACTCATTTTCTGAAAAGCATAAATAGAAGCGCATTGTTAACGAAAATGATCGATTTATCCTCATCAAAGTTGGATAAATTTCTGCATGGAAACGGCCTCCATGTGACTGGGACGCATGCGAGCAGGCACCCTCGGACCTTATTTGAAAGATCACTAGTTAGTTTCGTTTATGAGGGTTTGCACGACGTGTTACTGTTGCTCAGAATACTTAAGAGACACAGTGTATCTAAAAACTCGGTAGTACTATAGTTGGTACAACAATATGACGGTGGTATTACCTGTTCTCCCTTATTACTAATGGTAAATATCTTATGACTGTATTAATGTTTCTGTAAGCGCGTGCTGCAATCAAGTCAAGAAGAACAAGTTTTTCAATAACTGCGGTGCGTTTTTGCGAACTTACATAATTTGGTCGCTGTAAATTCGAGAGCCAAAAAGACTGTGAGCAACATGAGTAAATTTACAATAATCGCAAACAACAAAGCGCAGTACTATGTTGCCTGATCTACTGTCATGTGAGACCTTTGTTTCAGGTGTTAATCGTACATTATTTGGTGGGTGGTTTGGCTTGGTTTTGATACCTTTGGCCCGAAATTCACCTTGGAAAGTGTCATTTCTGTGACGCAGATTGTGTCCATATCGGGTGTACTGATTTCGGTTGGCGATAGACGCAATTCTGTGGTAACAAAAAAGGGATGTCCTTTGTTGTCTTTACTGACCGAGTAAGTAAAGATGACGTTGTGAGCAATTTTTGAAAGGGTTCTGTTAAACTTTAAAACACAATATATATGTATACATATTATGCATACATTATTATATCATGTATATATTAGGGAAGCAAAACATCTATTTTGAACCCTGATATCATACTGTGGATGATGATGATGAAACTAAAGACCTGTAGCAGGCGAAGACCTTTTAACGTTGGACGGCTACATTTTATAAACAGTTCACCTGGAACGTTTTTGATGAGTAGAAAATAAACTGCATTAAAAACATTTTCTGGTCACAAAATATCCTCAGAGCACTTACGTATTTCTGGTTCCCGGTTGCATGGACAAAAATGGTAACGTCAATATTCGGCACATGGAAATAAAACTGTAAGTTGCCAGTAACAAGTGATCAACGTCAACGCGAATCATCAGGCGCAACTATTAGGTATAACGCGTTGAAATTTACAGGTACTGAGAGTCGATCAGTCGTTCTAAGATAAGCATATCACTTTGGTTCTGCAGAGTTGTTCATGCAGCACGATGCGATGTGACGCCCCTGATAAAAATACGGTCTCTGGTCGTGTGTGACGCCCTAAAAATACGGTCTCTGGTCGTGGGTCTATGACAGTGGTGGCAATTTACTACGGTTTTCAACTTACTAATGAGATACAGTCAAGTATAAAAATCCCTTCACTTTAGTGAGACCTACAGTTGTACGTCGCAAACCGCCGTCTTCTACAGTAGTCCTAAGCATTTCTTTCGTCTGCGTTTATCTGCGAATGCATCATTTAAGACGGTCACCTATAAAACGAGCTCACGGTTGATGGAATTAAGTTTCTGCCAGCATGTCTTGCCTCAACCAACTAAAACATTCGCACGCATATCAAAGTCTTGATCAACACTTGAAATAATATTAGTTGGTTACCCAATTCCAAAAGTTTCACGGTGCAATTTAATGCCAGTTTGCCTAGTGTGTGAAGGCGCCTCAAACCGCTTGCCCTAATAATACTTTCATGAGTAGCTGTCTCGTGTTCAGATACAGAAAATTTGGGATATGAACAAATCGGTGATCCATCTTCCCTCAGTAACTCGGTACCGGTCAGATGCCTCTGAAATTTGAAATCTGGCGAAATACATTCATTTACAAACAAATTTGGCTTTGTAAGAAAATCAACTGGAACCCAGCTGAATCTGTCACTTATGATGTTTCTAATCTCTACTACGGGTCGCAAAACTCGTTATTCTTCTGAGACAGTAGTTTGGTCTCAGCTGTAGAGAACCGATCCAGATAGGCAAAACTTACTTGACTCATTTTCTGAAAAGCATAAATAGAAGCGCATTGTTAACGAAAATGATCGATTTATCCTCATGAAAGTTGGATAAATTTCTGCATGGAAACGGCCTCCATGTGACTGGGACGCATGCGAGCAGGCACCCTCGGACCTTATTTGAAAGATCACTAGTTAGTTTCGTTTATGAGGGTTTGCACGACGTGTTACTGTTGCTCAGAATACTTAAGAGACACAGTGTATCTAAAAACTCGGTAGTACTATACATATATATATATATATATATATCTGACGCGACATCGATTTCCCTTATAGGATGTAATGTAAGACTTGTGTTTTTGTACGACTTGGTTTTAACCCTTTCAGGTGTGGTCAAGGCTTCCTTCATCCGAACATGTCATTCAAGAAAACAAAAATTGGTCATTTTGGTTGGCATTCAAGTCTCTGCCAGAAAATTGTTTACTGGTGTTAGGTTCATGGGTATACCCGATCGAAAAATTTTGTTCACCTGAAACGTGTGGGTCTTGTGGAATATGTACTTGTGACGTTGCTTGATTTTTCATGCTTATTTCCTCGACCTCCACACATCCTTCAACATGGTATTGTATCGGTGTGCTTTTTAAGACGCGTGATTACTAAATTGTGTTGGGGTTCTTTTGCTTTGAATTAAAAAGACTAACAATGAGACAAAAAGTTTTTTGACAAGTGCTTGCGGATTTATCTCGAAGCGAGAAGATGCACGGATAAACCAGTCTATGCAGAGAAACCAGAGATGGTTGTTTCGTCCTTGTTTGTATTCACCGATCGTGTGCGCCCGACAAAGTTCAGAGATCTTCAAACCCACAACCGTCTGGCCAATGGCGGAACACAACTATTTGGGCATGGGCAGCTAATGATTAGTACTCAGTGGAACAGGATACAGCAATATTTATCGCCTATTCACGGAAACCATATTGCGTAGCTACTCAATGACTGTACCTTGAGTGAGGATAATAACATCGCATATTATATGTTAGGAGATGAAGCAGATTAGCTTTTTCTTTCTACTTTTGCTAATGTGTTTGGAATATCGTGATACTTAGCGGTGAAAAATATGAATTAGTACACCAGCAGTTCTATCGATTAAAATTAAACAAGATCCACTTACCCTGAAAAGCTTTTATTTTGAAGAAAGAAAAGGAAAATTTGTTCGTCGCATAGAGTTGGGCAAAGTTTTCAAGAATCTTTAATAAAAAATAAAATAATTCAATTTTTCCATTTAATAGATTACTGTGTCACAACCCGCAGGAGGAAGCATTATTTGACATGGTAAAGTCTACCCAGAATCATAAGCATTAGAGTTCTCGCCAATCGATGGAAACCATCGTTTTCATCATTGATAAAGGCGATGGACTGTTTTTCACCCTCACCGAATAGCGTTCCCTTAGCCCCTTGCAGCAGGGTCTTATATCGCGTGACAGCTGGCGTTCACTGGTTCCTCAATTTGGGAGTTCGCATATGGAAGACCGGGGCAGCCGAATAATTCTTGACTTTCCTGAACAGTTCGTTCATTTTCATCTTTAAAAAGAAATTTTTAAACGTGAAGCATTCAAACCCTTTGCATGTTTTCACAGTTTAAACACAGTCAGTTTTTAATTCCTGAAAATGCGACAAAAATTGAACCTTTAGTACAGACATTCCTAAGTTTTCTCAGTTTGATGTGGGCCAACATAAATTGCGATTACAACTTACCAAAGCCTGTGAATTTCAAAAAATGTCCACGAATACGTTAACGAAAAAGGGTAAGTGCATGATCAACTGTAAACTTTGTACTCCAGGCGTATTCCGTAAAACCGAAGCCATGAAGTTCCCGCCCAAATTAACCATTGCTATTCACTTACTCTTCAAGCCAACTGAAGCGAAAATTTGAAACAGCATCAATAAAATATTATCCAAAGTCAAGTTAAGACGGTATGATGGAACATCTTGTTTTCTACGCGGTTTTGTTAGGCGCGGGTAGGCTAGGCACAGTTTGTCGATGTGAATAGCAGACCCTTTTGTGATGCTGATTTGGGTGGGGATTACTTGCGACCAAAAACGTCAGCTGGATCAACCACACTAGGCACACAAATTTTATGACAGTTTTGCCCGAACAGCTGAGCCATTGGAGATTCCGCCACTGCTTCAGGAATGCCACCGGTTTGAGTTCAAGCATACAGCACGAAAACTGGCTACATTTACTCAGTAGTTGCTCCCAAAGGGTGACCTCTGTTTGTGTTTTGTTGAGAGATTTCTTAGGACTGATATCGGGGTATGAGCAGCTTTTACGATATTACTAGGTACTATGACTTTTTCTGAGTTGGGCCCAGCAAACGTGAAGAAACACATGTCTGACAAAACTTACGGAAGAAATCGACTAGAACAAATGAAATAAAGATAAATGGTGTTTGTCAGCGGAATTTGACAGCGACAGATAGATGGTCTGTGTTGGCATGGAAATCATCTTTATCTATGTAGTAACTGCGGTTTGCAAGAAACAGTGAGAGCAAGTTCCCAAATTAGTTTTCCACCTTCACGTAATGGGTGCACGTCAACGGTCCTTCTAGAGTGTAAACGCAGAAAAATTGGACGTCATGCCAGAACCACTGCAGATACCTTCACTAGACAGGTCGGAATTATTTTGCCTGAAGGAGCATACATTTTCGCAATTGGAGCCACATAAACACGTGCATCTAGATGGATGACACTGTGACTCTCGCGACTCTACCGAGTTATTTACCCAAGACTCAGAGCTTCCCAGTAAATTAGAGCCGCAAGAATTTAGATCCATATGAGGACTCGTTTTATTAGATGGAGGTGTACCAACGTGTCACGCGACTCTCGTTCATTTAGTGTCGAATCTGCTCTGAGGCCGTTCTGTGTTTTCAGATCATTCCGCTAAATAAAAATTCATTAGGAATGAAAACCAAAAAGATAAAATTTCGGACCAAATGGTTTCGAATAAGCGGAACAATTGCCAAGGGGTTTGAAACTGCGGAAAGTGGAAAAATCCGAATGTTTTTTCACCGGTCTCACTGATCGATTGCGTACTTCATGCTTTGGGACAGAAATATGTATCGTTAGACTCCAGGCTGAATTTGTTCGGTCACGACAAATGTGCCTTTCTAAAAAAAGGTAGATATACAAGAAAGCTATGGTGTACGCGTTCTTTCTGATCTCTACCTCGAAACAGGCAACATCTGTTAATTCAATGATGACATATTGAACCGTCTTGGCCTTTGATTTCCTCTTGTTGAATGCTAGCGTTGGACACCGGCTGTCCGTGCCGTCGAATGAGCATCCAGTGATTAGCTATGGAATGGTCGAGATCAATGCAGTAGCCCAACGTTCAATGCTGAAAGAGTTGGATGGTTGCTTCGAGTTTCACTAATTTTGGTTAGAATTGTACTATTATGAGTTTTATCAACTTTATATGCTTTTGAATCCATACGTATGCTACTTACTCATTTCAGTAACTTTAACAGAAAACAGTTATTGGAAACGCAAACAAGAATGATGAAAATTGGTACCTTCTAACAGGTGCAACAACAAGGGCAAAGTTCAGTCCGTTTAAAATAAGAATGAGAAGAAGCAACAGCTAGAAATAGTGAAATAATCAAATGAATGACAATTAATTCGATTAAAGCTTTTGTATATGCGGATACTTACTGTACTTGTGAACTGAAAGTTAGTCAACCAAAACGTGCGTCGTTTACATCCACGGGTGGGATTTTTATTAATTCGCGTGAACATACAAGGCGTCATGGGAGAAAATTTTACCTTTGATTGGTAGCTTATCATCAGAGCATAATTGTGTTGCCGGATCATTAGGTACCGATTCTTTATCGCAGTGTGTGTGTGAACACGTTCAAATCTAGATGTGACACGAAAATGTTGAATCCCAAAAGCTCGTCTTTACGCGGAAGTCGCGGTTTCCGATAGTTGCTCTCTTGTGGTGGAGACTCTCGCGACCTCGTCTGATTGTATGCATCAGTGATTTATAACAGCACCTGGTCGGGCGAGAAGCCTGACCATCGTCTGGCTATGCGTATTTTTGACGTGAGGAGTAATACATACTTATGTTTGCTCGCATGGCTTTGTCAAGCCATTATGGGCTAATCCCTACTAAACTGAGAAGAGACGGATCTCGTTCCAGACTTGGGACATGAGACGGTCATTAAAGAATCGCACAAGTAAACCAGTGGAAAATAGATTCAAGCTATCGCATCGCAGACCATATACATGCCGGGCGCCTTGCATTCAGCAACACGTTCATGTTCGTTCAACCAAACTAGGTCCACAGGCTGTCGGGTTTATTTTAACAATGGTTGCTATCCAACAGTTGCTGTAGTAATCTGCTCTCAAAAAGGGCAGCACCAGCATACTCAACATATTTATTCGAGAAACTCAGTTAACTCACAAATAGCGGTCGCTGAAGCAAAATTTGAAGCAAACGTAGACATTGCTATCGTTTAACAAATTACAGAGACATTTTGTCGCACGAAAACTTACAGAAGAAAGTTCAGTGAAAAACTAATCAACCAAAAGGCAACACGCCCACTTCAAATTGTCAGTCATTTTCGAAATGATTTTAGTGCTTCTTGTTCCACGTGCTACTTAGTTCGCCCAAAATAATGGCAATGGGAGCGTTTGTGGACACTCACTGTTCTAAGACAGCAAACCGCTCCGTCTTTCATTCAAATGGGAAACTGAAGGAATCGTCTAACCCATGATCCATCGTGGTAAAGCGTCCCTAAGTGTACACTAGAAATGCTGTAACATGTCCTTACATAAAGATCTAACTTTTATCGAATTCCATATAAAACTTTGTGATTTCAGACTTCAACTCTTTAACGCGTTCCTATTTCCATGTTGATGAACTAGACTTTTCTTCATTGACTAATGAACCTGATTCACACCTGGTTTATCACTCAAACTTATTGAGGGGGGCATAACCTTCCTTCTGTGGACCGGGCTCCGCTGAATGGCAAAAGATAGTTTCATCCGACCAAAAGCCCGGTGACGTTTATGTTGATGTTAGCTTGTAACTCTGCTTGACAAGGGACACGCTCCATTACTCTTGGTAATTTTCCGGTTTCGTTCTTTAATTATCCAACCGTAGTCTGTTTGATTTTACTCACAGCACAAGTTCCTATTTGTGGAATAGGCAGGTAACCGGGAGGCCCGACCTATTTACTAAGCGGCCAAAACATTTTGCTGACACGGAAGATTCGGAGGGGCTAATAGCCAAAGAGCGCGTAACGTAACCATAAACATACGCCCTTTTCATTTGACTGAGTCGCTTTATGCATTTTGAACAGTCAGTATTTAGAATGGATGCATGTATTTGTGGTGAAAAGTGGTAAAACACGTTTGAACAGGGGATGTGTTGAGAACGAAAACGAGAACTGCGCGAACTGAAGGTGTTTCTTTCGTTTTAGCGATTCATCAAAGCAAATACTATCCAGCGTACATTTGTTCCATTCACGGTAACTCACGTGTCGACATTTGGTTTTTCGAAAGTGGTGTTGTTCCAATGATTACTAAACTCAGCTGGGCAATTTGATTGCAAACGCTTCACTACCAATCGACTTGACGGCATCGGTGCGTTATGGTGGAGCGTACTTGTGCGTAGCGGTGGGTTAGTGGTTGTGACAGAGCAGAACAAAATGTTTGGCTAAAACCAGTCCATAACACTTAGTAAATCTCGAAATAGCAATCGCACGCCGAGTAGGCAAATTCAAAATCAAACGCAGGACAGCCATGTAGAGAAAAATGCGCAAGCTTTCGAGGAACAACAAACACAACAATTAGGACGCTGGGATCAAGAACGTATCTGGCCGCCAGCTCAACACAGTTGAACAGCAACTGCTCATTAGCAGTTGCTCGACTTCAACTTCGAGGACGCATCTTAAATGAAAGGCTCGACTTCAACTTCGAGGACGCATCTTACAAAGATTTCCTGGCCAGCTTCCAACACGACCTGAATACAAACGAAATGTCCCAGGAGGTTCAACAACAGATCCGAGAAACAATCGTTGCGGCGATCACACGGAATAGAAAAATGCAACTGATTTCCAAACAAGAACGAGACGCACTGACAAAGCTACGGAAGGATGCGACAATCGGAATACTACCGGCAGACAAAGGACGCATCACGGTGATAGTGGACAAGCCGGATTACACTGAAAAGGCCAAACAACTGCTAAATGACAATAGGACCTACAAACCGATCGATCATGATCTAACTTCAAACATCACCAATCGAATCAACACGACGCTCAAGAAACTGCAAGCAACACACGCGGCGACCAGACAGGAACGATGGAAAGTGAAAGCCGATGATACCAAAAAAGAAACTCAAAAAAGAAACTTCATGGCCCACAAATCGAATGGCACCCTAAGAAAATTAACATCTAAACCGAAGCACAACCGATACAAAACCGAGAAGAACAATGTGATATACCAACTCAACTGCAACAACTGCAACAAATTCTACGCCGGAAAAACTGGGAGGAGAATATGCACACGAATAAAAGTACACAACGCGGCCGTCAAGAGACATGACCGCCTGCTCCTGATATCCATACTCGAGGACCGAGCAGGCGACGAATTTAATCTGGAAAACATGAAAATTTTGGCATAAGGAGACACGAGACACGGAAGAGGATTTCTGGAATCATGGCAGATTCGATCAACCGGCGCGCCGAACTTGATCCAATTTACGCATCCCTTCGTGCAAAAGACCAACATCTCAACCGGAACATTGAAGGAGGACCGAATATTGGATTCACAAACAAAGAATCAAGGAACTCCCTGGAGGCAAATCAATAAAGGTCACAAGCCAGGACTCGAAAGAACAAAGGTCACTACACCATTGACCAGTTTGAATATCCCGGAAAAACAAACAACGTATTTTGGTTACAGTCATTTTTTCTCCCGACTGTAACTAAAATCTGACGTCTCTGTTTGGGTATGCATTTTGACACGTAACTGTTAAGTATCCCCTCATGCAGAACATCATATTTTAACAAAAAATGTGCGTTTTATACCCGGTTTAGAAACATGACTTACCTTCTTCGTATGCTAAAAATTCGATAAATGCCAGGGATTATTCATTATTATGACGTTTTTCATAAATTTAAATGACAAATTTGCACGAGCAGCCAAAATGTGTATTCGTTTTTATTCAGGTGAATGACCACGCCATTGGGAAAAAACAGCTGGACTGGGAGAAAACCCAGACTGAAGAGCAGTGGGTAAAGTTAGAGTATGAATTAAGTTTCGGAAATGTCCAGTTAGGACCATCTACGATAACCCAGCTATCTGCAGCTGAGTGCCGTCTGCATTCAAATTTCCAAAGTTGGTCAAATATCAAACCGAATCTCAGAAATCAAAGGCGTGTTTCACAACTACCTTGATGCATTGCTAAAGCCAAGGATTTGAGCCCACAAACCTATCCGATCAGCAGAATGTATCCGTTTTCCGATTTTGAGTAAGCAATGAATTTTGCGACAGATTTTCATGGTTTCAATACGTAGTCAAAATTACAACTGCAATAACGAAATAGTCAAAGCTTTTGCCAAATTTCTTACTTTTTCCAGGAACTGTTAAGTTGAATTTAAAATTACATCACATATTCAATAATATTTTCAACGACTCGAGTTAAAAGAACATTTCGGGGATAACGAATTTTTTTCGAAGTTCTAATGTATAGCACGTAATACACGCATGTAACTTTGGAGTTTTGAGAGCACTTTCTGCAACAGACTTCGTCGAAATCGAAGCGCATGAACTGTGGAAGTACAAGAGCACTATACTAACGTTGATCAACCTCAAATGAAGTAAATACCGTGTTTTATTTTGAAGTAAACGGAAAGTCAAATCAAAGGTCAAAAATTTTAGCCGAACCCCTATTTTACAGCTTCCGCTCAAAACACGACGACATCACTTTTTACGATTTTCATGCGTGTGGCTCAACTCGTCTGGTGATTAAAATGGATGATCAAAAAACGTAATCAAAAAAGGGTGATTTCACTCGTAAACAATGTCGTTTGCATATTTAAACTATAAATATACCAATTTTGGCCGGGAACATGTGGGAAATCGAAAAAGGAACTTACGTTGCTTTAAATCTGAATTTCAGAATTACGGTGGAATGATAAGGCATTGCTCAGGTCATCGAAGTTTCGCTAATAGTCAGGAGTTGGTGAATATGGTCGCTGTAGTCGGTCCATATTTACCGCTTAGTCTTCATGTAACACCTTGCAAGGCTTCATATCAAATGGCTCCCCACTTTTCAACTAATCTGGAACCCAGCATGTAACACCTTGGCTTCATATCAAATGGCTCCCCACTTTTCAACTAATCTGGAACCCAGCAGAATTTCTCGTTTGTGATGCTTCCAAGCAAGCAAATGTGCTGCAACAGGCCGCCTCGTGTTTCAGCTGCTGGGCTATTCGAGATATCGCAATATATATATATATATATGCATATATATATATATA